CATGTTCCAAAAATTAATGGATGTCTGTGGCTGTTTCTCTTCAATTTGAGTGGTGCCACATCAGCAAATGAAGGTCTTGAAAGCTTTCTCTTTTCCATATAAGTAAGGCTGGATTTCTCAGATGTTTCAGCTCTTTCCCAGTCCTATTTTGAGAGCCTTTTAACCTAAATGGACTATTCCTAATGGTGCGCTGTAATGTACCAAACTGTGTTTCTTTGCTATTCATAAGGTTTTCCCTGGCCAATTCTTTGAGAAGTAGACAACCTCTTCCTTCTTCCTAGTCTGTCTCAGTCTATAAGCTGGGCTGTTACCTGTGCACCAGGTGCATCTCGTTGGGTTTTAAACACCAGAGGCTCAGCCTCAAAACTCACGTGTACATGTCACTACAGTAGGACAAACTGACAGACAAGTTTGAGATCTCCAACCGCTTGATACAGTAGATAGTGAAAAAGAAGAGACTCTGTGATTTGCCTTGACACATTGGCTGCATCCATGGCCTCAAGCATAACAACTGTGAGGATGGCACAAAACTCAGCAGTGTTTTGTTCTGTTGTATGTGAGGTAGCTATGAGTTGAAATCAACTCATTCATTTTCCATATCCTAAAAATCAACAAATTACAATTGAGATTTAACATAACATTGACAAAATATGTAGGAAGCTTACTCTGAAAACTAAAAAAGCATTGCTGAGAGGATTTATGGAAGTCTTCAGTAATTGGACAAATATACCATTTGCATTGGTTGGCCAATTAGTACAATCCTGATAATACTTCTTTTCCACTTTCTGTTTCATTGAATGGAGATTGAGGTCTTAAAAGGTAGCAAGCAGCTAGTCAAATTACAATAATTGGTCTATATTCAACTGAAGCAACAGAGGAAGAAGAAGATTCATGAAAAGAAGAAGGACTGTGAATATGTGTATGTTTGGTCACCTCTTTGAACAACTGACTCCTCTGGTGTGAGACCAGAACAGGAAATTGTCTGTCTATCATTACTGAACATTTCAATAAAAAATCCTGATCAAACAAGGGAGATATGAAGAACAAATTCTCAATGAAATCCAGACTTTCTGTAGGCTTTGAGGCTTGATGAACCCCTCAAACTATTGGCCTGAGAAAATCTTCATATTTTAAACCTTAAATCAAATCCATCCCTGAATTCTTTAAACCAAAGAACGTTGTTCTTGGTAGGTGCAATCAAGTATGCTCCAACACATGTTGTTGTTGTTATGTGCTTTCGAGTTGGCCCCAACTCATAGTGACCCCTCCTTGGGTTTCTGAGGCAGTATCTCTACAGAAGTAGATTGCCCAAACTTCCTTCCGAGGAGTGGCTGGTGGATTTGAACTGCCACCCTTCTGGTTAGCAGTCAAGTGCCTTAGGCACTATGCTACCAGAGCTCCTAACGACAACTTTGTCATGGTCCCACTGGGGCTCAAACCCAGGACCTTCTGTGTGTAAAGCAGGTGTGATAACCACTACACTATTGAACCTGACTCCAACACATAGCAACCCTATGTATAATAGAATGAAATACTGCCCAATCCTGTGACATCCTCAAAATTCTCCCTATGCTTGAACCTGTACTTGCAGCCATTTTATCAATCCATGTTGAGGGTCTCCCCTTTTTCTCAGACCATGCATGATATCTTTACCATGAATGATATCCTTCTCCAGGGAATGGTCCCTTCTGACATCATGACCAAACTAGGTGAGATGAAATCCAACCATTCTCACTCCCTAGGAGCATTCTGGCTTTACATCCTCCAGGACAGATTTGTTTGTTCTTCTAGCAGTCCATGGTATTTTCAGTATTTTTCACCACGACTAAAATTCATAGATGTTAACACTTCTTCACTCTTCCTTATTCGTTACCCAGCTTCCACGTGCATATGAGGTAATTAAAAACACCATGGCTTGGGTTAGGCACACCTTATTCTTAAGCTTGAAATCTTTGCTCTTTGGTACTTTAAAGAGGTCCTTGATAGCGGGTTTTCCCAGTACAATATGAAGTCTGATTTCTAGACTGCTGTTTCCATAAGTTTGATTGTGAATACGAGTAAAATGAAATCTCTGACAATTTCAACATTTTCCCTATTTATTGTCATGTTGCTTATTGGTCCAGTTGTGAGGATTTTAATTTTCTTTATATTGAGGGTAATCCATACTAAAGACTAAATACTTCGATCTTCATCAGTAATCATTTTAATGAAATACAGAAAAAAATGGTTTGACCACTTATAACATAAGTTGATAATTATAAAAGATCATTCTTAATAACAGTGAAATGAAATGGATTTTTTAGTGTGACATCATTCAAAATATATCATGGTTGCACTTATTGCCACTAAAATCAATAGACTCTCTATTAAAACATCTATCAGGAAAATAAGGAAAAGAAAAATAAAGGCAAAAATATTGCTTGAGAGGAATTTAAGCTTATTATTTACAAACTCATTTGGTAGTATATTTTGAAATGAATAAAATTTATTAGTAAATGGGAAAATTTGCAATATAACTGCTAAACGGGCACGGAGGTGGCATATTTTGACTTCCTCCTCTAACTTCACAAGAGGAAGACAGAATCACCATCAGCAGCCCAAAGCCTGATCCTATGAGGCCAGACATGCTGCCACCCCCCAACTCTCTTACAAACCTTGACATTAGCCATTGGTTCCATAGCACCCACCACCTCTCTACTGGGTTCTGTAATTTACTGCAGTGGCCACACAGAACTAGTGGATTATGGGTTTTTTAGGGAAGCAACAGCCTGCAATTCTAGTTCAGGAATGTGCTCAAGATACAGTTCTTCGATTAGGACCATCTCTCCTCTGCTTTGTCCTTAGACACGCCTCTCTGGCCCTTGGCCTCTCAGGCTGTTCTCTGCCTCCATAGGTCAGGTAAGCTTGCTGCTCTGCTTCATGCCTTTTGGTTCCACTGCAGCCATCTCTCAGCTGGGTGTCTCTCACAGCTGGACATCTCTCTCTCTCTCTCTCTCTCAGTGACATCTCTCTCTCAGTCACATGTCTCTCTCAGCAGCATGTACCTCTCAGACAGCAGTCAGAGAGATGCTTCTGCCTCTAAGAGAGCTTATGTTGAGCCTGCCAGGATAGCGAAACTAACCAATCCCAACATCAGAGTTCTATGTACCTGAGAAAAAGTGAAATTTCCCAAAAGATTACTTTGTGCCCCAGGTGATGACTTTAACAAGCAGCTACTCAGTTGTTCATGGCAAAGTGAGAGTTACAAAGACTATGATTAAAAAAGACATACCATGTAATTCACTACACCACAATAACTGAATAAATGATTTATATTAAAAAATTTATTACAACTTTTACATCCACAATAAACTAATAGAAAATTATTACTATTTATAGTGTCAAAAGTATTATTTGAAATAGTATGAAAATAAAATTTTAATATTTCTATATAAAGAATTATGTAATCATTTTAGAAATTATTAAAAAATATCTAAGTAACAGTGAGATTCTATACTTATGAATAGAAACAATGCTGTAAATATCTCATTTTATTCCAATTTTAATAGATTTAATGCAATTCTAATCAAAATGCTAAGAGAGTATTTCATGACACACGCTAAGCTAATTCAAAAATGAATATGGATGAGTAAAAAGATAGGCAAGTCATTTGAATAGTAAGAAGAGGAGGTTTTGAAGACCAGATACCAAAATTTATAAAGCCATATTAATTATTTTATTACTTAGAACATAATTTATTAAAGGAAGCTGCATGAATAATTCAAATAATTGAGAGTTCTGGTAAGATGGCAGAATAGGCAGATATACTGCACTGACCTTCCTCAACAAAAAAAAGGGAGACCAATTAACACAGGAACAGAAAATAATCTTGGAGCACTAAACTTTGAAAGGAAGGATATAGAAGTGGACTCAAGGCCAACTAGTAGAAAACTTGTATAAAAATACCAAAACAGGAGACATACGGAGCTGTGGTCTACCAGCGATCTTGATGGCACAGACAGTGTGGATACTGCTGAGTGGTGTTAGGACCTAAGAATTAACCTAAAAATCAGTCCTGCTAGCCAGGGACTGCACGGAGGACTGCACCGGAGGCTGGTAAATAAAATGGGGAGCAGTGCAAAGGAAGGAGGGCTGAGCTGTGGACTTTTACCTGCCCAGAGTGTGCAGCCATTTTGAAAGTTTACAAGTGATTTGACCATTTTGGATATTTAAAGAAACAACATTCTGCCAGATTCCAGGGACTTAAGAATAGGATCCATTTGCTGGAAACCACAAGGACATTCTGGATGCCAATATTGGAAAGTTAACAGAGATCTAAATACAGCAATGTCATAATGTCTCAGAGACAACAGACCATGACATTGCACACAAAAGCAAAATAAAGTGGTAGAAACAAGGGAGCAGGATACAGACCCAGAACACATCCCTGAGGAAGAAGCAGCACTGGAACTCCCTGATACGGAATTCCAAATAATTATATTTGGGTATCATCAAATAATTGAGAGTCAGATCAAGGAAAACACTGAAAAAAATTAGGGAAAAAAACCTAGAATATTTCAAAAGAAAATACAAAAATGGTCCCTTAGATATAATGGTGAAATTAGGAGATTTCCAAATAAGCAGAAATTAATAGAATTTTTTAAAACCAGACCAACCTTACAAGAGATACTAAAGGGAGTTCTTTGAACAGAGAACCAAGAATAGCAAACAACAACTGGCCATTTATACACAAGATGATATAACCCAGAAACAAATATAGCTACAGATGCATCCAAAAAAGCTTACAAGATTGTAAACAGAAAGCTAGAGACATCAATTGGCAAATGAGGACAACTACAAACCAGAAAGAGGGGGAAAATAGTGTAGTTACAGAACTTCTAAATGGTGAAGAAGTCAAGAGAGTTGTAAGATTGAATGGACTATTCTAAACTTGGGGAGAAAATAATAAATCACAGAGTAACCTAAAAAAAAAAGTGATAAACCTTCACATGACTATAAAAAAGAGGACAAGCACAAATATTTACAAATACTAAAGCAATAGCAGCAAAGGAAATGACAACACAATTCATAAAACACAGTGAGCTCAGCACAGAAAAGTATATGGAACAAAGAAATCAGGAACACAATGAAAAAAACAAATAATGAAATGACAGCAACTTATTCATTCTTGTTGATAATTACACTAAATGTTGATGGATTAAATGCACCACTCAAGAGATGGAGAGATGCAGACTGGATAAGAAAACATAACCCATCAATGTCCTGTCTACAAGAGACACACCTTAGAGACAAAGACAAAAATAGTCTAAAAATCAAAGGTTGGTTGGAAAGATATATCAAGCAAATGGCAACCAAAAATGAACAGGAGTGGCAATATTAATTTCTGAATAAACTGACCTTAAGACTAAAACCACCATACGAGACAACAAAGGACATTATATAATGATTAAAGGATCAATTGAACAAGAAGATGTAACTATAATAAGTATCTATGGACCCAATGAAAGAGCCCCAAAATATATAAATCACACTGTAAAAGAGTTCAAAAGGCAAATAGATGACTCCACAGTCATAGTACCAGACATTAATACACCACTTTTAATGAAATATAGAACAATTGGAAAGAAATTCAACAAAGACACAGAATGAGCTAAACCATGCAATCCACCAACTTGACCTTATAGACATCTACAGAGCACTTCACCCAACAACAGCACAATATACGTTCTTTTCCAGTGCATATGGAACATTCTTTATGATAGACCATGTATTGGGGCACAAAGAAAACCTTTATAAATTTTAAAACACTGAAATACTGCAAAGCATCTTCTCAGATCACAATGTTATCAAATTAGAAATCAGCAATAGGAAGATCAATGGAAAAAGAGCAAACACATGGAAACTGGACAACACTCTCCTTAAGAAAGACTGAGTAAGAGAAGAAATGTTGTTAAGTGCCATTGAGTTGTTTCTGACTCATAGTGACCCCATGTACAGCAGAACGAAACACTGCCAAATCTCGCATCAGCTCCATTATAGAAGAAATTAAAATTAAAATTAAAAAATTCCTTGAATCAAATGAGAATGAAAACACAACATACCAAATTCTTTGGGATGCAGAAAAACAATAATAAGAGGTCTATTTATAGCAATAAATGTAGATATCAATAAAGAAGAAAGAGCCAAAATCAACACTTTAAACCAACATCTCCAACAATTAGAAAAAAAGGACAGGAAGAAAAGCCTACAATCACCAGAAGAAAGGAAATAAATATTCAAGCAGAAAACAATGAAACAGAAAGACAACAGAAAAAAAAAAAAAAAGACTAGAAGTTGGTTTTTTGAAAAGATGCACAAAATTGACAAACCACTGGCAAATTTAACAAAAGAAAAGACAGGGAGAAAACAGATAACACAAATAAGAAACAAGATGGAGAACACCACAACAGAACCAACTGTAATAAAAACTGTACTCCAAAAAATTTGAAAAT